TCTCTAACCTACAATAGGTTCTCATTGACCCCAGCGCAGTTTCCACAAAAACGGAAGTAATTTACGCAACTTATTTTGATACCCGTTTGTTCCACAGTTTGTGACCATAGAGTTCAATTGTGAGTGTCCATTTCCCCTGCACCTATTCCCATGACGCGATGATGCGACCAGTCAGATCTAGTTACCCTGTTTCACCGCTGAATAGTGAAAACTCTGGTGAACTACGTTGGATAGGATAACCCGAAATTAATTTACTAATATAATAGATTATTTCTATGTGAACTGCCACAAGTACGGCGTCATGCTAAACATCTTGTATGAACATCCGCAGCATGTCAGAAAACTGACCACTACCAGTCATATAAATATGAAAAAACATGTTGCACTGCATAGCACGAAGTTTTTCGAACAGAGGTTTCTAGGACCATTACTACTTACATAACAGGAAAGGTTAGATTTTTAAAGTGCTTGTAGAAAAAATGTGCTAAAAGAGGACAGTAAAGCACTTCGGAACCGAACATCCTTATCAGATTGTGGTTGTGGAAGTTTCACGCGTTGAATTCGCATGAAAACAAGAAACATCGTGCAGAATTCAGGATGTACTAACAATGCCATGGTGTGCCAGTCTTTAGAAAAGCTGAAAGTGTGAGGCGCACCAGTATTTAACGTATGGAAAGTCAGAGACAAATTTCGTCCTTAGAGTCCGGAAGTGTTGAGGTTTAAATCATCACGATTGAGAACACAAAGTGTAAGAATTCTACCGCGTTTCACTGACAACGAAACCGATTTTGAATCAAAAGGATCCAATAGTAAATCTGTGTACTGAGACGTAATCAAAGCAAAAAGCGACTGGTGGATGCAATACGCCGAGGTAAGCGGTTTGAACTGTTGGGCGTGTGTTTATTGGACCCATTTTTACAGAAAGTTCTACTACTGGGAATGGGTTGACCGTAGTAACCATACACAGTTTGGCACATGTTATCTGCAGATTCTGCCAAAATACGTAGTTACAAAACTGTGCTTGATTTCGTCGGCCAAGAACACTACCTTTGTCTCAACGCAATACTGTTTTCTCAATTGATGAAAATCTTGTGTTGTTGATCAGGTGGCTGTTGATTTGTTCACCGAACTTGGCAATTGACTTGCAAACGTTTCTTCACCATACAAGGAGACTTCATCAGTGCGCCATTGGGTATGTACATCCCATTTGCTAGCGTACGTTTATATTGCATTAAAAGGCTATCTGTTATCTCTTAAAGTGAGTTGCTAGTTGGGTGACAGCATTTATCGTGAATTTATTAGTCCGTTGTGGTTTGCGTTCCTTCAAGTCGATTGGTCATTCCGGAACCTTTTATTTTTGGTAGTTCCTCCTCCCTTTTTGATTAGCCTCCTTCTTGGTTTGCATTGCGTTGTAGTCTGCTTTCTCCTCTTTTTTCAAATCTTGTTCGCCATTTCATACTAATAAATAGACGCGTACTTCTACACCTGTAGATTAGGGGCTGATGATCACTTGTCTTGCTTTTGTTTTCCACAGAAGGTTAAAAGGAGCAGAAAACTTGAGACAGAATAAATTTTTTAACCGCGAATACTTCTCCCGCAACTCTCCGGCTATAAGTTGGAGCACTGGAATTTCGGCTGATTGGCAGCGTGAGTAATTTGCACTTATACAAGTTAGAGCATCGCTTATCTTTCAATCATGGAATCCACATTACGTCGTAAAGTAGTGACTGGCATTTCGAGTGACGA